AGACCGTGTCTGAGTCCGGTACTCGGCCTGCCTGCCTAATCAAGGTCAAACCTTTTGTTGAACGCTGCTCAAAATTGTGAACAGTGTGGACAATATCCAGTACAAGCCGCAAACTGTTTGAGACCTTCAAATTTTGTGGGTTTTGCTCCTATTATTAAAGCTAAAATCCATTTTCCATAACTATGAATATTTCGGAACATCAGAACACAAGCCTAAGGAATTGGATTGGTTGGTCTGAAAATATTCGTTCGTTCAAAATTACTATAATCTTTCATTAAAACGGTGACTGTGTTTCACCTTGTAATTTTAATCCACACGTCTGATGCTTATTCGTGCTTTCACGCGTCAAAAACTAATATCAGACAAAATATCTGGGGAGTTAGAGGGTTTTTATCGTAAACTGTTATATCTGACTGCTGTTCCCGCTTCAGCGCCTAGTGCCGGAAAAAGACTCATCGATAAGGAACACAACAGTTTTATTGCGAACAAGCGAGTGCGTGCCAGTGCAACACCTAAAGGGACCTCATGCTATTTTGAATTCCACCTTTATCGATCCAGGTTGTTGCTGAATCGATTGAATGCTTGATTGGCTGGATGCTTGCCGGCTCTACTATTGAAAATTTGGTAGAGTTTTAAGGTCTCAGTAGGTTACGGACGTTCTGGGATTACTTTCAGAAATCCGACATTGCTTCATTTCTTGATATCAAGAATCGAACATGGTTACTTTTTCGTTTGGAGTGGAGTTACTTTTTATTTGATTAACCTTGGACATCTTCGTTCATCGCACATGATAAGATGTAATAAGCCTTCAAGCGTTTAACTGGGTATGCAGCATACTCATCCTGTTAGACTGAGTAGAGTAGGGTAGATTAGATTAGAGTAGAGTAGAGTAGAGCAGAGTAGAGTAGAGTAGTAGAGAAAGAGTAGAGTAGAGTGCTGGTAAGGCAACAACCAGGTATAATGAAACAATATTTCGGTGTAGAGACCCAAGCGGCAGAAGTGTCTTTGGGGAATATGATGTAGATGACATATTCAGTGGGTCGAAAAGGAATACAGATCTCATCTCCAGCACGTACTCTGTGGTTTTAGTCCAGCGGACGTTGTTACCCAGAAACTGGCATCCCGAAAGGTGGTATAAAACCGACCGACTCCTCTCTCCGTCGAAAAGTATGATACCAAGAGGTCGAAAAGTCGGTTTGTGAACATTTCGTTAGTAAATAATCTTGATTGAATGGATCAATAGTCGTGCAAGGAAGATCTGTCAGTAATCGGTCTGCCAACGACGTCAACCTTGCTAGGAAAGGTGATGAATGTAGAAACGGTGGTATTGCTAATCTGTTTGTGCTCTCGTTCAGACGATATATATCACGTAGTTCGTTCGGGAGAAGGGGTTATTCTTGACTTTGTTTCTCACTAAACTCTGAGTTTCCAGTAGATTCCGCTTAATAAACCACTTTCGAGAGTTTCTTTGTCTCCCAAGTTCATTACGCTTCCTATTTAACAGTTGTCTGTCATGCTTTAGCGTGGCGCATCAAAATACCCACGATACAACCGGTGAAGAGTTGAACACGTGACTATGTCAAGACACAATCTTGTTTTGAAACATTTTCATTGATGCAACCCCTTCAGCTTTGATTCTGCACCATGAACAGTTCAGTCAGAAGAGTAAGGCGAACTATACAATAATGCAGGCTTATTTTCTTATTTCCTGACCTGAATCATCTCCCTCTTGAATCCTAAGTTGACTTGTCCGGTTGGTTTTGCCGTTTTTTTTATGTGGACACTTTTGTTGAATGACGGTTTATCACTCCGCTTAACCAGGTAGTGAAAAGCGTTCATTTGTGAAGCTCTTTTGTTTTTTAATAGCCATGCCACCTGAAGGATGCACGAGGGATAAAGTACTCTCAGGATGCCCAATTCTAGATAGCAGTAATTGAGATGCTAGGGCTGGGTTCGAACCATGGACCATTCGGTCAGCAATTTCGCGGCTTGACCGTTATCTCGAGCTCACTCGCTAGTACTTATAAAATCCATGAAGTTCAGAGGATTTTCCTCAGGAATGGAGTATATTATTGAATATCCTTGAACTTTTCAGTAAAGGACACTCCTGTAGTGAAAATTTTGCTGGCAATGGATGATGTCACGATGGAGAAAACAGGACTATGAGCTCCAGTCAGAACAATTTTTGCACATACATGCAATAAATGACGCTCAAAACAAATACCAGGTTGCCAAGTTGACTTTTTGCCAAGCATTGCTTTTTGGATTATCAAAGAGTAAGGTTATCATATTATCCAAGAATTTTTGTCATTCAATTTGGCAACGAACAAGATTTCCTGCAGAGTAAACTAGTGTTTTTAACTTGTAGCAGGTGTGTATGGAATTGGAGACCTAACTCAAATCAATACTTTCAACTGACACACAACTTGTGTCGGAATTAACTAGTTGTTAGCCAAGTATAATCGGAATTCGCCATTAGGCCCACCTGGAATTGGTTCATAACCACAGTCCACCTGCCGTTTTAGTATGAAGCTATTCAACTGCTCCATCCTACTTGGCGGGAATTCAAACCGTTTTTATCCAGCAGCAATCATAATTTTAGGACGGCCGAAATCGCACTTTGCAGGCGCCTGATCTCTTTTGATTTGTTTTCCAAAATAAAGGATTTACAAATTAATTAAATCACTCTACCTCATCGGGCCATTGCGCATCAACAACACACCGACCCTCCTTAAGGTGTAACCAAAACTTTCTAGTCTAGTGCAGAAGATACGGGTGTTGACGAACACAACGTTATAACATCTTCCCCTCAGATTGTACGGATTAAAGCGCTGAATTGAACGGGCAGCTGTCAAGTAAAACAGCCTAAATACATGGAGCAACGCGATTGGCCAATATGGGTTTAGATAACTGGACCAAGGTCACCAGTGGAGTGACCTTGGGCTGCAGGCAGGGCGAGTGACAGTGATTGGTGTGTGGGTTTTAACACAGTGTCCTACACTGCACCTACACACCTAAACCTGGTGGCTTCAAAATACTGAGTGACTGTCTCAATCTTTTCCACAAATACTTTAAAAAAAGTAAATCAATCAAGCGTCTCACGTAATTTTGTACATGTTTACCGGTTATTTTAAAGAATCACTGCACTAGTAAAATTCCAGGCGCAAGTATACAGTCGTTCGAATTAACTATCCAAGAATGAACTTCAGATAACACGTCGGTATGGTCCCCTGGGCATTTACTTGAAGAGAGCACGAGTGGTAGACAGGTCCTACAGCCTTATACCGATCACCCAAGTGCTTCTGATACCATCCCCATCAAAGGATTACCGGACTGTGTGAACTTAGCACCGGATATCCTGGGTGAATCTGACCAATTTCATTGTTGTCGTAGCTTCAAAACTTGATCCACGTTTGTCTGACCCCGACCTATCCTCTCCCTCTCTAAAGAGTCCATATGAAGAAAAAAACCGCATTAGAGACGAGGTTTTTCCAAATAATCTGAAGTTGCCGATGGTTCTTGATGATGTAGCCATATGATCAGAAGCCTAGCGAAATCAAAATTTTTGTTTGTGAGTAACTAAGGAGCATTCCATTAGCAATGCGTAAGGCAGTAGGTGAAGAGTTGAGTATTGACTAGAACGCTGACGGCCACGTCACAGTAGTCACGTGAGTGAGAACAGTGTCCGTGATTATAGGTGACACAGACCTAAGTTGTCTCAAGCAATAAACAGTTCGGCTGTCAGCAATTTCAATCTGTGTATATTGATATTTGCTTGTGTGGTGGTCGGTGTACCTGGTTTCGCGATGGGAGGAACCACCCTCACCAAGTACCGTTTGGACCCTTCCGTATTGCTAACCAACGATCTGGTGACAGAAGTCTTCTCTTGAAACTAAACTACCAACACTTCTTCGAATGAAATATTACTAAGCCAAGTGGATGCAAAATTAGGCGACCCAAACAATGGTTTGACAGCAGGAAAGGTGGAAACTCTGAGGTTTCTTTCCCTCATCAGAACTGTTCAACCCCTGATAGGTTTCAGTCTGCATTTCGAGAAGTGTATGACCAATGGTTCATCAGAAACTGGGTAAGAATGGGAACCGTAACTGTTATGAAGTTCACAAGACAGGAAAAACAACAGAGTGAGCAAAACTTGTGAAGAACTATTTTAATTTTCAAGTTTCATTCCACTCCCTTTTCCAATTCGTTCTGCTTTTCACTTCCTTCCATCAGCTTGTTCTATTGAAATTCACAGAGCATTAATATTCATGTGACTTGAGCGAAGAGATTGTGTCAAGTTTCGAATCCCCAGTGGGGCAATCAGTGAGCTCACGCAAAACCCAGCCATGCGTGAAGGCTACAAAACCACTGCGTCGCTTTCTCCACTGTTGACTTACGTGCTAAACTGGGTTTATAAGTCGAAAATGCATCATAAGCTAATTAAGCCCCACCCACACTGGTACTTTGAAGCCTTCTGTCTTGTGTTTGTTTGCCCACCCTCTAATTGTGCTGGGTCTGTCTAGCTCACAACACCAAGCGCGAGGATGTCCGTCGAGGCATGTATGTAGCCTATCAATTCGGTTCAGGTTGATCCCAACTCGCGCGGATTTGTGTGACCACAGTTTAGCTTGTCGCGAATAGAGCAGAACTGAGACAGTCCTTTCCGAAATTCATCTCGGTCGAGTATTGTCAACGTCAATTGGAAATGAGGCTTGTATATATGGGTGGGTGTGTGTGCACGCGCGCGCGCTTCTGGCTACTCGATTGACTGTGAGTATTTATTTGTCTACACCCGGGCCTGTCGGGACTAATCGCGGATGGTTGCATGAGTGCGTGTGTGCGTGCGTGATTCCATGCGTGCGCGCGCGCCCAGATCCACGACCGAGTGAATTGGCTGTATACGTGTACGTGGGCGGGGAGAAAAGTAACGCGAGAATTCCGTGTATTACTGCTGCTGACACTGGGTTACGTCCCGACGGCAAAAAATACGATCTGTTTGTTTGCGATTTACCGGGCAGTATTTCGTGTCACAAATTGCCTTTAAGTTCCCATCCAGTGTGGAGTTGACTGGACCAAGCAGTTAGTCTACTACGCTACGTGGATTGGCCAGTATATTGATTTCACTTTCGGTGAGTACACTGCAAAAATCTGATTTCAAAAGTTCGTAAACTATTTGATAAATAGTGCTCCGTAAATTTTATTTTATAATTTTGTTGCAATATGCGCTCAGGTGCGATTTTAAACTCGTATGCGTTTCCTGAGACATATTCAGTTTAACGCGGGTGGTCTCAAAGTATTCTCGGCCTTAACATTATCGAGTACGCGAACCACTCAATCGTCAGCGCCCAGTTTTCGCACAATGAAATTGCATTTTCAAAAGCTGACTTGTCTCTGATGGACCAGAGCAAGCGGGCAAGTGAGCTCAGAGTACCAGTCCAAACTTTTGGGCCCCATTTAGGCATCCCGGGGTCTCAGCGATGCTGGGAAATTATTTCACCAGACTTTTCCGCCAGAGGTATGATTGCTTCAGTGAAAAATACTAGCGTAGATTAAGATAGTTTTTGGTTTGAGCACATACGCAACAAAATGCAACATTTTGGAGCAAAAAGTTCTGCTCCACTCGTAAAGGCTTTGCAGCTAAGAGTATTGTGTGACTCCTCAGTCGTCTATTTCAGTCGGTGTCAATGTTGAATCCATCGATAATTTGAAATTACAGAGTGACGCTTGTGTTCACGTGACCCAGCACACTATCCTTGTGATTGAACAGAGTTCACACACTGCATTCGAACATAGAGAGAAGGATACACAAAGCAAACCCCTAGACTACTGAGTAACTTTCAAGTTAAGTGGCACTATTCACTGAACGAACACGTGATCAGACTATCCGAGAAAATAAATTTAAAATGCAGCAATATTGGATAAATGCATAGATTCCCGTACACGATTACCACTGAACTGATTGAGATTACACGATTCTTCTTAAAGTTCCCTCAATATTGAACCCGATACGTAATTTGACGAGTTTTTAGATAATGTGCACTCATATAGTTTGTTGGGCGGTGCTGTTACACCTGGGTGGGCGTAGTGGTTGTCACATCGAAGCGTAAGGTCTCGGAGCTTTCCAAAAGATCACATGACATGCTACCTAACTCAGTAGGAGAAAAGAAGCAAAGACACTCCATAACGATGGTTTTTTGTTCTTTTTTTGCGTATACTGTTTCGCACAGTGGTTATGCTTTCCAAGTGAAGATACAAGTCTGTGCAGGTGAACTAGATTGCCAACTTTCATGCCCAAAAAGGTGTTCCGGAAACGTAGCAGCTGTTTTGGAGAGGCTATAATCAGCAAAAAACAGTGTCCAAGAATTTATCTACTTAGAACTAAGTGGACGCCTGTCTAATCTGATGTTTTAAAGATTGGTGGGAGTTCGACAACGGGGCCTAACTGATGAGCTCAAAGACGGGTGATCCCGACTTTTGGTTTTCCATAGCATTCACGGTTTTCATACTTGGCGTTCTATCGAAGAAATCCCACTGAGTTTGAGTTGATTGGAATTTTTGGAACAGCCATTCCGCAATCATCAGTGAGAACTGAAATCAGCGCGCTGTGTAAGGACACGCCAACATCGTGGCCGCGTTGAACAGACGACGAGTTGAGTCAACTAAATGAAAGCTACATGTCTGAAAATAATGAAAGAAAGTAAACACTATCAAAAGCCAGGAACCTAAGGACGACAGTTTATAGCTAACCAGGTGAAGATGACTGCCAATTAGGTATACGTGGTTTTGAAATCCTTGTTGGTCAGTTATCTACGTAAGTTTAAGCAGTTTAGAAATGGAAACCAAATCTCCCGGGGGAAAGTCATTTGCTGCTCTTTTCGCTGCTACAAATGTTCTGATCTTCCAAAAAAGATTAGCTTACGTATTATTCCCCTCACTTATCCTGCAATTTCAACGAACATTTGAGAGTTTTCTAACCATGAGCCGTTTGTTCTGGTTACTTGGTTCTCTTATCCGGAAGCTTTGAGCTGTTTCGGTCGATAACCGGCTATCTCTCAAAGTTTTTCACGATAGTGGATAGAGTGATGTGTCTTCGTTTTTGTTCATTGAGTCTATGAATTTTTCTGTTCATGGCGAACCCCTGAGTACTGAGTACACTGGTCTACCGCCAGGGGCCTGATCTCCAGGTTTCCGCCATTTACCATTTTTGTAAACTATTCTGTCCGAAGCTAGACCACTCTCGAAAATAACGTCAAGATTTGGTGGTTCTAAGTACCACGATATTCACGTCTTGCATTTGACCCACATATTTGTATCGACCGTCAAAGTTTTTTCTACTTGGTGCCATACTTACTCCCCTAATGCATGTTCGTTTTGCCCTACAATCAGTCTGTTATAGATTCTAGAACTATGGTATCTGAAAAGTTTTTGATGACGAAAGATGACTCTCACAGAAGCCAACCTCTCTCCAAAGTTTTCCTGTTTGAGGGGGGTGGCAACCTAATATTACTGGGTTATGTATTGGTTCGCTTAATGCTTTAATCCGGTCGAACTGAACAAATATCTGTATAATCTGCCTTTATAATTTGTTTACTGGTGTAACGGTGATACTACTGATAAGGAGGCACGCGAGTAGCATGTGTTGTTCGTGGGATTTTGCTTTGCGTCTTTTGAAAAGGGGAGATCTGTTGCGGAATTTGTGGAGTCACTTTGTAACATTTGCTTGGATTTGGGCGAGGAATGATTGGAGTCAATGAATATCCAGGAAAGTCAAAGAAGGCGCGTTCAGGAGAACATGGATGTCCAGTTTTTGTAAACAAGATGCAAATGAGAGTTTTGCTTCCCTGTCCAAAGGTCCGTAACCGGTCAGCTGGCATTTCCTAATGAGTAACTCTGCAGCTAAGGCCTTCTTCCTTCCACGGGTATCATAAACGAGAGATTCAAATGGGAATCTAGTGGGTCCTAAGTGAAAACCAAATTCGGTGGATTCCGTTCGATTTGAATCCAAGTAGAACAAGTTGACGGAAACGCGGGAAATGTGCTACCTGATAAGACCCAAGAAGACTGGTCGTGAGTTACTGAACAGCTTTTATGAGTAGTCTACTTGCAGCATTGTCATCCTGATTGTTCAAAGCTTTGAAATCTAGATTTGAACCATTTCCTTTCATTGCCGACTCGATTGTTTTATCAAAGACTATCGGACATAAACATCCCCAGATGGAACACGTGACCCTGATTTATTCCCTGTTTCCCTTGATCGACTCCTAGCAAACATCTGGTCGGCCCATCTTTGCAGAGTGCTCAGACCTCTTCAGGATGACTGGGAAAAATTCATTCGATGCTCTCTTTAAACCCAAATCGATACATAAAATAGTGTAATTTGCAAGCCTCCAGGGTAGCTTTCTTCTTAAATTTTCAATCGACATTTTCATGCTAGTGTTGCAAATACAAAAGCAGACATTGCCGCCATATCACATTCGTTCGGATTTCCGTTGTTGAAAGGAGAAATTCCATGTAATCTAACCACCGTCTGTTTTCAACCCCTTTCATGGTGCGAATGAATACAATTCAACTCTTATCTCGCCAGTTTTCCCCGTATCACACTCCATTATGTTTACATAGCTGTGTACGAGCCGCGGTGTTTGACGTTTTAATGCAAATTCGCTGTCAAAATAGGTTTGGGATACAATGAGTTTACGTGTACCACTGTAATCAACACACTGTGAACGTTGGGATGCCGTGCGATTCCGGGCGGATGTTTACGACCTCAGGGGAATTGGTGTTCACTGCTCAACTGAGAGCAATAAATAACGTACGTTGTGATTTAACGGTCAGATTTTGACACTCTAAATACCAAGCCGCTGATCTACTAAATACAAGGATAATAGGAAAAGCTAGGTTTTGCATAAATTAATGATTGATCTGTTTTTGAACTCAGCTACAAGAAACTGCTTGTTACGAGTAGTGTGAAAGTTGGTTTTTGCCTGTACACCCTCACGTGATATCATGTCACTCTCGATAAAAAAACCGTGACCACAAGACTGGGCTGCTCTGAGCGTAGCGTCACGTGGCACGAACGGGGCGAGACCTGGGTATTCGTGATGGTGATGAGTCATCAGATTTGTGCTGAATCGGATAAACCTCGAGATTCATAGTAGTGAGGCCTCCCATTGATGGCTGCTCAGAAGTGCCCGGTTTTTTGCACATTCTGGTGTGGGTTGGATCGCAGTCAAACCAACGTTTCCCAATAAGTGCTTGAGCTAAATTAAGATGAAAGGTGTGGGGCAGTGTTAGCGCAAGCCTGAATGATGTGATCGACTGGCTAGCTTCAAAATCTAAATTAATCGATATGGTCAGACCTGTAAAAGCAACTGTTTTCGTTGTCCGTCTCATCGTGTTCCCGTCGAAGAATCCATTTGGTTTTCCCATGGGGTGTGCGCGTTTGTACTTAAACCAAAACAATAGACCTATGTGAGGTGATGAAGCAACGGAACGCCTTTGTCAATTATTTTCTTAAATGCTATTTGAAATACCTGCCAGCGGTTAAACAGTGTAGACGAAAGTAGCTTCGGCAATGAGCGGAAACTCAAGTTAATTTACAAATGAGGGTACTTTTTCATCTGATTACAATTTGGTATATAAGTAGAACAGAAGACTGAGGGAAACTCGGAGGACATGCGGTGACCTGATGAGTCTCAGAAAGTTTAGAGCTGATCAAGGGTTGTCGGGGAGTTTCAGCGACCCTATGAGTAGTAGGTTCTGTTGGTGATGCGTCCCCAACATACTGCTGTTTTATTTATACATTATTAAGTGCCGGGTTTCCTCATCTCAACACAGTCAGGTCAACATTTCCTGTTATGCAATCCAAAGATTTACTACCGTTACCATAGTGATATGTTGTCGGAAAATGATAGATTTTGGAACCTTTGTAGGCGGTGTCTAGGGTTTTGAGAGGATTCACGTGAGTGTAGGAGACGAAAGAGTATTAAAATAAGTAGAGCAGGTAATAATTTTTGTATCATGAAAACTTTGTCTCATTTTAATGCTAAAGGGTACGTAACCGGTCAGCTTACAGTTTAGCGCCAAAAAACTAAGAATCCTTCAGGTGACACAAATTATGAGTTGCTGAGAA